TATCCAGGGCAATAGGAAGAATTGCTGGCAAAGGAGGAAAAACCAAATTCACCATCGAGAATGTGACACGGACACGGATAGTTTTGGCTGATGTGTAAGTATTTAATCTTGACAAAATTATTTTCGTAATTTATATTTGATCTTTTGTTTTAAAACAGAACAGTTGTATTTTATGTATAATGTTGCTGCTAAATATTTGTCTGTATAGATGCTCCTTATAAACCAATTGTAAATTGAAAATATTGTAAGTCTAAAATGCATTTAATATACCTGACTTATGGAACATTATAGCTTAGCCTAGCCTATCATAAATGTGGTCAGAACACACATTAGCCTACAGTTGGGCAAAGTTATCCAACACAAATCCTACTTTATGACAGAGTGTTAAATATTGAATTCTGTACTAAAAATGAAAAACAGAATAGTTGTATGTGTATTTGAAGTAGAGCATTCTGAATGTATATCACCTTTGCACCCTTGTAAAGTTGAAAAATCCCAAGTCGAACCATCTTAAGTTGGGAATCATCTGTATTCTTCTGGGTGAATGGTCACCAACTTTGAAAGAGGCTTAAGTTGAGGAAATTTCAAAAATTATATGTCTTTTTCTCATTTAGCAATGAGGAAATGTTTAGAAATGCTATTAAAAGAAATTATTATTACAGATGAAGATTTAAATAATATCTCAGGTCAGGCACAGTGGCTCACACCTGTAATCCCAGCACTTTGGGAGGCCAAGGCGGGCGGATCACCTAGGGTCAGGAGTTCGAGACCAGCTTGGCCAACATGGTGAAACACCATCTCTACTAAAAATACAAAAATTAACCAAGCATAAATGGCACATGCCTGTAGTCCCAGCTACTTGGGAGGCTAAGGCAGGAGAATCCCTTGAACCTGGGAGAAAGAGGTTTCAGTGAGCCATGCCATTGCACTCCAGCCTGGGTGACAGAGCAAGACCCTGTCTCCCAAAAATAAATAAAATAAGTAAATAAAATCTCAAGGGAATCTATTAAATTAGTAGGGGAGAACAAGCAATCAGTATTTCAAATGCCAGTATGAGTCTTCACCTTTTATAAAAGGAAGGGGAATATCGTACATTAGGCAAAGCTAGAGAGCAGTTATATGTGAACATAAATAAGATGATAGGGGCTTAAAATAAAGGTGCCAGAAGTGAAGCTGGGATTACCCCTGTCTGAGGTTGAAGCTGCTGTGTTGCCAGTTGGGGATCTTACTGGCAGATGGCTCAGAGATTATATAATACTATGAAGTTAGGAAACTGAACAGTTGAGAGTAGGAGGGATCTGCCTGCGACTAAATCCTGAAATAATTTCATTTAATATCTCAATTTTGCTCTACACTGAAGGACTCATCATTATATAGAATCTAAATTTTATACATTCTTTATATTTTAAGGATAACTATACTACTGTATGGGTGGCCCTCTTTACCTGAAGCCAAGTATATGGTTATATTGTTGATCTTTTATGGATTGAGCCTAGAGTCAGAAATAGGGAGCCTTGGGAGAAGCTTTTTTGAACTAGAAATTTCAAAAATGTGGAAATGCACACCACATTTAAAAGTATGGCCAGACTTGGTGGCTCACACCTGTAATCCCAGCACTTTGGGAGGTGAGGCAGGTGGATGGCCTGAGCTCAGGAGTTTGAGACTAGCCTGGGCAACTTGGCAAAACCCCTTCTCTATAAAAAAATACAAAAATTAGCGGGGTGTAGCAGCCCACACCTGTAGTCCCAGCTACTCAGGAGGCTGAAGGGGGAAGATCTCCTGAGCCCAGGAGGCTGAAGCTGCAATGAACCATGATCATGCTACTGTACTCCAGACTGGGTGACAGAGTGAGACTCACAAAATGAAAATAAAAATACTATACATAGTCTGAGCACAGAGGCCAAGGTGGAAGGAAGAATTGCTTGAGCCTCTAAAGTTCAAGACCAGCCTGGGCAACATAAAGAGATCCCATCTCTTCAAAAAATATAAAAATTAAACAGGTGTGATTGTCCACACCCATAGCTCTAGCTACTCAGAAGGCTCAGGTAGGAGGATTTCTTGAACCCAGGATGTCAAGGCCACATTGAACCATGATGGCACCTCTGCACTCTAGCCTGAGTGACAAGAGTGAAACCCTGTATCAAAAAAATTAATTTTTCAAAATCCACATACAGATGTTCCCCACTGTATGGTGGAGTTATATCCAGACAAACCTATTATAAATTAAAGATCTTGTAAGTCAAAAGTTCACTTTTGTCTTAGGATACTTCTCTTTTAAAAATTGAAGAGCATTCTGAATGTGTATCACTTCACACAATTATAAAGTCAAAAAAAAATCTTCAGTCATCACTAAGTCATGGATTGGCTGAGTAGCCCTAAAAACTTTTATGAATTTAGAAATCCATGGCTGGGCGCAGTGGCTCATGCCTGTAATCCTAGCACTTTGGGAGGCCAAGGTGGGTGGGTCACTTGAGGTCAGGAGTTCAAAACCAGCCTTGCCAACATGGTGAAAACCAGTCTCTACCAAAAATTCAAAAAAATTAGCTAGGGGTGGTAGTACATTCCTGTAATCCCAGTTACTTGGGAGGCTGAGGCAGAAGAATTGCTTGAACACGGGAGGCAGAGACTGCAGTGAGCCAAGATCAAGCCACTGCACTCCAGTCTCGGTGACGGAACAAGACTCTGTCTCAAAAAAAAAAAAAAAAAAGAATTTAGAAATCCAAAACTGTAACTGATTTGCCAATGAAATTATAATCTGTCATTAAGTTTATCACTGGTAAATTTTATAAATATTAACCTAAAATGTACTAGTTGAACTAACTTTTTAAAAGTTCATTGTGGCATAATTTACATACAGTAAAATTCTCCTGTTTTAAGGGTCCAGTTCAATGAGTTTTTGGCTAATGTTTATGTATTGTAGTCCCCTAACACTCATACAGTTCTCTTACTCTGGAAAATTCCTTTGTCCATCTTTATGGTCAGTTGCCTGCCCCAGCCCTGTTCTGGGACAACCACTGCTCTAATTTCTGTCACTTTTATCTTGCCTTTTCTAAAATTCACATAAATGGAAATCCACAGTATATAGGCTTTGCTGTATGACTTCTCTTGATGAGCATGTTATTTTGAACTCCTTCATTTTGTTGGGTGTGTCAGTAGTTCCTTTTTATTGGCAAGTACTATTTCATTGCATAGGTATACTGTTGATCCTTGAGTATTGCAGGGATTACGGATGCTGAACCTCCAACATGGCTGAAAATCCATATATGACTTGACTCTCCCAAAACTTTACTGCTGCTGGCCGAAAGTTATACCCATAACAAACAATTGATAAACACATATTTTGTATGTTACATGTATTATATACTGCACTCCTTCATAAAGTAAGCTAAGAAAAGAAAATGTTATTAAAAATCATAAGAGAAAATCGATTTACTACTCATTAAGTGGAAGTGGATCATCATAAAGGTCTCCATCCTTGTTTGCATGTTGAACAAGCTGAGGAGGAGGAAGAGGGGTTAATCTTGCTGTCTCATGGGTGGCAGAGGTGGAAGATGTGGAAGGGGAGGCAGAAGAGGCAGGCATACTCTGGAACTTTATGGAAGTACATTATAATTTCTGACTTTTTTATCCTTTCACTTCTCTATGGGGTACCAGTCCTCCTCCACAGTTTTAGTTTCAGTGCCCATATCATAAAAGGATCTGTCGTAAAAGATATCAAAAGAATCTTGAATAATCAGAAACCCTCTGCCAAATTGTCTAATGTCACCCTTTCTGACACTGCTGCTTCTACATCCTCCTCCTCATCACCTGGCACTGCTTTTGAAGCACTCACCTCCATCAAGTTGTCTTCCGTTAATTCCTCTGATATGGTGTCTGTTAGCTCTTGAATTTCTCTGAGATCCATATCTTGAAACCCTTCACCCCTTACTTTTTGCCATAGCCACAGTCTCTTTCATAATTTCTTGGTTGGCTCTGTCATAAATCCTGTAATGTCATACAAAACCTCTGGACACGTCCTTCTCCAGCAGAAATTTATAGTTGCAGGCATGAGGCTTTCACAGCTTTTTCCATAATAATGACAGTGTCTTCAGTGGCTTAGTCCTTCCAGACTTTTATTATGTTCTTTCTTTCAAGTTCTATTCCATATCATTGACAGTATTTTTCATAGAGTACTGTGTGTAATGAACCTTAAAGGTCTTCATGACTACCTGATCTGGAGGCTGAATTATTTAGGGGCAAGGAGACAACTTTGTTGCCTTCTTCTTCCAGCCACCCAGAACCCCATGAGTTTACACCCAGAACCCCATGAGTTCAGCGTTGAACTCATGGGGTTCTGGGTGGCTGGGACATAGCTCAATATCAAAAGAACTTTAAAACTCATTCCCTACTAGCAGGATACTTCCTGACTTCAGGGACAAAGCATCAATGGAATCAATCCAGAAAAAGAGCTGTCTTTGTCCAAGCCTTCTTGTACATCGAAAAAACAGGCCACTGGTGTTTACCTTTTCCCTTTAAGGATTGGGATTAGCAGCTTTATAGATAAGGGCAGTCCTGATCATAAACCTGAGTGCATTTAAACAAAACAGTAAAGTTAGCGTATCCCTTCCTGCCTTAAATCCTGGTGCTTGCTTCTCTTCTTTACTAATGATTGCCCTTTGTGACTTTTTTTTTCCCGAACAGGACACTTTTCATGTTCACAACAAACCTGTTCAGGCAGATGCTATTTCTCCTCAATGATTTTTTGTAATGGCATCTGGGAACTCGTCTGCTGCCCCTTGGTGACCAGAAGCTGCTTCTCTGTTAGCCTGAAATGTTTAAAGCCACCTGTTTCTAACATAATCAAACCATCCTTTGCTGGCATTAAGTTCTCCAGCTTTAGATCTTTTACTTTCCTTTTTCTGTAAGTTGTCACTTAATGACTTCATTTTTTTCTCAATCATATTTGAGTCTATAGACATGTTCTTTTTAGAACAATCTCGCACCCACATAAAAGCTACATTTCCAATTTGAGATTGTCAACAAAAGAATCACAAGATTTATAAATTCAGAGAGGAAACTTTATTTCTTATAAAGGGTTGCAGTCTGCAGAGTGGCTATTCTGACAGGCTGGGAAGTGTGGCCTTCAGCAGAGACCAAAAGCAGACACTTGGAAGAAGGAAAAGGAGACAGGGATTTATGCTGAATGGGTGAGCCAAGTATACTTATTTAACAGGTTATAGGAGGAGCTATGAATATTTATAAGAGAGGTCCTAATGTATATATACTGAATAAATGTAACATACAACCTCTGGTCGCTGTGGGGTGGAGACTTAACATTGAAAATACATGACAGTTAGACCCTGTATGTTACAAGATGATGTAGGGACAGGGACATGAAGGCACTGAATACACTGCCTCTGGAAGCGGGTAGAACCAGTCCATAGTCAGTGGCCGCTTATTAGGAGAATGTTACTGGAATAAGTCTCTTGTCCATTCAAAGCTGTAGTTACGGCTTGTAGAACAGGGCATGGGAAGAGGGAAGCTGGGGTCAATGTGTATCCAGCTATTGATGAGCTGTAATTGTTTTAATATTGTTTATCAAAAGGCCAGTGCTTGTAAGCTGCTATAGAAAAAGAAAAATATCTATGGCAGTTAGAATGTTTACTACTTATGTGTAGGGTGTGTGGCTTAACCCTTGCCTGGGTGGTCATAGGTCTTATTTACAATTTGATATTTTATTGCCATGGTCTGTTCTGTCTTGCTTAGAGGCTTTATTTTTGTTTTATAAGATAAAGGGGAATTCGGCAGAACTGCAGGTGTTTTACATCTGCTGTTGTAGCTGCAGTGACAGCTGCATGAATTTCCTTTTCCTTTCTTTACAGTGGTCCTATGGTAGATTCATTTATCTTGAAGTGGCAGGCAGCTGCGGCTGCAGGCCTCAGACAGCAGTATGTATCAGGCAGTTCAGCTTTTTCCTGTACTGTCATGACTTCTGTGCTTCTTTGGAGCACTTCCAACAGCACTAGTGGCACTTCGTGTGGGTCCTTGGTGTTACTGAAAGCTTACAATATTGCATTAAACATTAAAAATAGGCAAGAACAGCGAGAGATCACTTTTTACTGATAGACAATTTACTGGAGAGTCAAAACTGCTTATGGGAGACGATCAGCATCACATGGCATTTTAAGTGGATACTTACAACACCTGAGGTCACCGCAAGAGCAATAGGCAGTGGCTGTGAAATTATTACAGTAGTACAGTATGCACTACAGTTAATTTTATGGAGTTATGATTTCATACCGCATCTTTGCATTTGTTTCCATTTCTCTAGACTACAAATGGCAACATATATGGTTTGTGTTTGTGTGGGTAAGTTTTGATGAATTTTAACTTTTTATAATAAATTTGTGTATATTTTATGGTAGTAAATGATAAAATAGACTAGTACCTACATACAATTCATATATTTGTGACATAGCTTTTTCTTAATTTTTTTGACATTTCTACAATACTCAGCTCCTCTGTGGGTCTTCTCAAATCTCGACTGGACCCGTGCAGTTCAAACCTGCGTTGTTCAGAAGTCAGCTGTATTACATTTTGTTTATCCATTCACAGTTGCTGGGTATTTGGGTTGTTTTCAGTTTGTGGCTATTATGAATAATGTTGCTATTGAATTACTTACAAACTGAATTACAAACTACTTGAAATTAAGAGATGCACTGTCTCTTGCTTTTGCTATTCACAGGCTAGTTAGAAAATCCATGTTTAACAGTTTATATTAATTATAATAAAGCTGTTAAGATGGGCTGTTATGTACCTATAAATGTTATTTTTGATGAGTTGCTAATAACCTGGCAAAATATAATGTGAGCCAGATAGAAAACTAAAAATAATTGGTTCCAGGCATATTTAGTATAGCAGATGGGAAATGATGTTGCCTATGTGTCTTGAAACCTCCATTCCTTTCCAACTATTGCCCCATTACTTTGGTTCTTTCTGCAGCAAAACTATTCCCACTTTATCTGTTCTTGTTGTCTTTATTTCCTCATCTTTCATGCTCTATTTTAAATAATTTTAATCAAAGTTAAACATATACGTAGTTTGAAAAAGCCCAAAATTTCTGCTGCCTACCTCCATTTCACCCTTTTCAGGGGAACCAATTTTGACTATTTTAGCTATTCTTAAATTATCCTATATTTTCAGATATTCTGTTTATGTACAGCCTCTTGTTTTATTTTTTAGATTGACTATTGACTTTCTGCCATGAAAAATGAAGATTTAGCTGGCTTTCACCCCCTTATTTCACCACACACACTCAGCCTTTCTGACACTCTGATTTATTCCTCTCTGTCCTCCTGATAGTCCCCTTGTGGTTTTTGTTAGATTAGTGTTCAGTATTACCTGAAAACAGAAATCAGTGCTCAGTGTACTTACAGCTGAGCCAGGTAAAACACTGTGACTGCCTTATCTTTCTTTTGCAGCATTATTTTCACTTGAGGAAGTCTTATGTGTCTATGTGCTTTCTTCATTTTCAGTGTACTAATTCAGTAAGAAGCTAGATGTTGTCTGTATCTCCTCTTGATGTACTCGAATGCATCTAATATGTGAGAAACCTCTCCTGGAGACATCTGTTCCAAAAGCGCCCCCATGCTCTCTGCCTGCATTCTGGCTACACAGCCATCATCCTGGGTTCCCTGTGCCCTTGGCCCCTCTGTGTTAGAATACCCTGGCTCTTGGAGTCTCTGTCTTGGAGTTCTGCTTCTTGATATTCCCACTGCTGATTTGACATCAGTTGACTTGGGTCTGCACAGTCAGTTCCATCTTATCCATCTGCTTTCCATCTTTCTGGATTTTGTTACTGTTAACACTTTCTCCTTCTCATATTATTATTGTCATTTTAGTGGAATTTGGGGAAGGAGCATCTGTAAATGTTTGTTCTGTTCATCTGCAGGTGTCTGGAGGAAGAGCATTACAGAGGAAGGGAAAAGCACAGAGGTCTTGAGTTGAGGGCTCATCTAGCAGTTGCCAGTGAGCAAGGAGCTTGGCTGAGTACAAAAGGGAGAGAGTGGAGAGTGATAGATAAGGCCTTGAGGTCATCATAAGGACTTTGGCTTTTACTCTGAGTGAATAGAAACTCTTTGGATGATTGTGAATAGAGAAAGGGAGATGGGATGTGAGGGCATGAGGGGCAGTGAAGGTAGGTAGGATCCATAGATGGGAGGTCCTGGTGGGAGTAAAGGATTATTGGTGTTGATAGGAGCTGGAATGACAGAAAGTGGTAGAGAGAAAGTTGGATGTTTGAAATTGAAATTATGAGGGGTTGCAGCTTTTGCTATTGACCAAGTTCAGGGTGTGACCATGGATATAAGAGGCTGGAGTAGGGTGGAAAACAAGACCCCATGTTGGCATAAAGGATATCAAGGACCCGAGAGGCTGGCATATTGGGATTATCGTCTTCATGGGTATTGACATGATCGAGCATTGTGATGGGAATAGCAAGAGAAAGACAGTGAGCCAGGAGCAGACCTCTTCGCAAGTGATCGATCTGCAGGGGCAGCTGAGGACCGCAGCCAAGCAGGGTGGTAGATGATGTGGCCTGAGAGCAGATCCAAAGCCAGAGGGTTTTTAGGGAGGCAGGAGGGAGAGCATGTGGTCTGGATGTGGCATGAGGAGCCAAGGTACCTGCTCCTCCCCCAGGCCTAGAGATAACCTGCAGAGGAAAAGCTGGCCACCACTTGAGAACTGGCCTTAGTGAAAACCAGAGATGAACGGAATATTAACAGGGGTTGAAGATATAGGAGCTTTGCTGATAACTATTGTACAGGGCACAGTGAAAACAGTTTGGAAAATGGACTCAACAAGGCAAAATCGTATCTTGTCAGTTTTGTCATTCAGTAAAGAATGCCCATTAAAAGGGTCTGGATGATCCTCAGACCCTTGAAGAAATTTAGATAATCTTTAGAAAACTTTGCAGTTGAAAACCAGAGGAAATTGAGTTCAGTACTGCATTTCTGGGTATTCACTAACCAGCTCTGCCAGAGTGTTGTCTTGGGCAGGCTTTTTGATTTCTTAAAAACTTCTTTCCTGATCTGTAAAACAGGAATAACATCACCTGATAAAGGTCAAGTGAGGATTAAATGAAGGCATGCATAGAAGCAGGCTGGGAGTCATCATTAACTAAGAATCTTCACAGACTTGACTTTAAAAAAAAATTGTCTTTTCAAATAATTTTGTATTGAGATATAATTCATATACCATAAAATTCACCCTTATTAAAAAGTGGTTTTTAGTATATTTGTGGAGTTGTGCAGCCATCACCAGCATTTCTGGAGTACAGGACTTAGGTAAGGAAATGCTTTTTTGTTTCTAATGTGTCTTTTTTGTTGTTGTTTAAAGAGGGTTTTGCTGTCACTCAGGTTGGCATGTAGTGGCACTCTATAGGCATGTGCTACTATGCCCAGCTGTTTTAACTTTTGTGTAGAGATGGGGTCTCATTATGTTGTCCAGGCTTGTCTCAAACTCCTGGCCTCAAATGATCTTTCCACCTTGGCCTCCCAGAGTGCTGGGATTACAGGTATGAGTCATGGCATCTCAGCCACTAATTCGTCTCATTTTATTTCTTTCAGGAAAGTTCACATCCTTGGCTCCTTCCAAAACATCAAGATGGCAAGAACTGCCATTTGCAACCTAATCTTGGGTAATAGCAGTTCTTTGTCGTTTTAATTTCAGAAGTCAAACTACATTTGCAAAGGAGTTTAGGGTAATAGGGTAATATTAAAGATAGCAAGTAGACACCCTTGGGAGATGGCAAATGTGGGCCTAGAGAAAGAATCAGAATTTTTTTTTTTTTTTTGAGACAGTCTCACTCTGTCGCCCAGGCTGGAGTGCAGTGGTACGATTTTGGCTCACTACAGCCTCTGACTCAAGCAATTCTTCTGCCTCAGACTCCTGAGTAGCTGGGACTAGAGGTGCATTTTTATGTTTTTCGTAGAGACGGGGTTCCACCATATTGGCCAAGCTGGTCTCAAACTCCTGACTTTGTGATCCGCCCTCCTTGGCCTCCCAAAGTGCTGGGATTACAGGCGTGAGCCACCGCACCAGACCAGAAGTAGAAATATTTTTGCTTAGATTCCATTTGTCTGCAAGAGAAAAGAAAGTGTTTATTGGGTAATATTGCTCAAATCTTTGCTGCTTTCCTGATAAGGTACAGAGAAAAACCATTCTAGAATAGAAGGGAACGTCACATTTTAGGTTCAACAAAGGAGCTGCTGAACTGCTTCAGGAAATTTAATTGATCCACTTAACCCATTTTCTTGATCCTGCAGCAAAGTTAGTACCTTCTGATAAGGTACAAGATCTTAGCGGCTTGCTCAGAAAACGTGGGATTCTCTGGTTCCCAGGTCTTAGTAATTGGCTTCTTTTTAAAATATTTTGACAACTCAATGCTTTTTGCTCTTAGAAGTTTAAAATAGTTTTTGGAGAATATTTGGGTATTATTTCCTTTAAGGTTTTTTTTTTTTTTTGTAATTTCCAATTAAAGAAAATGTCTCTGTCCTGTTCTTTTTAGGGTTCTAGACCCTTTTTCATGTACAGTCTGCCCGCTGTATCTGCAAGGTCCACATCTGCGGATCCAACCAACGACAGATCAGAGACTCAGAAAAAAATAATAATGGCAAAAAATAATACAGATTTTAAAATACAGTATTAACAACTATTTACATAGTGTTTACATTGTATTAGGTATTATAAGTAATCTAGAGATGATTTAAAGTACATGGGAGGATGTATGTAGTTAATGTGCCTATTTTTTAATATATGAGACGAGCATCCAGGGATTGTGGTGTCTGTGGGAGTCCTGTAACCAGTCTTCCCTAGACATTGAGGGATAGCTGTAGGCTCTGTAAATGTGAGTTTATTTATATATATACTTTTTTCCCCCGCTTTGCAGGAAATCCTCCTTCCAAGGTTTATGGCAATATTCGAGCTGTGGCTAGCAGATCAGCAGATCGATTCTGATTTCAAGTCAGAGACTTTTTATCTTGCCTTTGGACTCTGCAGAAAAATACTTTATGGGTGGTCACAAGAAACCATCTGAAAAATTGCAGTCATTTGAAGCCTCCATCCTCTCTTCATTCTCAGCCAGAAGCATCAACAGAAAAGAAAAGTTTAAGAGTATTCACACTGAACAGATTTTAGGATAATTTAAATATCAAAAATTGATTCTATTATACCCACACATTAGATATAATTTATCATTTCTTTGAAATCACTTGTAGCAGATTGCATAGTTTATAATCCTCTTGGTAACTTCTTGTTTAAACAGCGCTATGTGAATTTATACTTTTATAAATTCATAACTTCATAAAAATTTATAAACATTTCTTCTTTATAAATTGTAATTTAATAGATTATCTTAGAAAAACTCTCATGATGACCCCTCCTTAATACTGGGTAATGTGAATAATTTTTTGTGGGGGAAACAGGTCCGACTTTGTCACCCAGGCTGGAGTGCAGTGATGCAATCTTAGCTCACAGCAACCTCTACCCTGTGGGTTCAAGTGATCCTCCTACCTCAGCCTCCCTAGTAGCTGGGACTACAGGCATCCACCACCACACCCAGCTAATTTTTTGTAGAGATAGGGTTTCACATGTTGGCCAGGCTGGTCTCGAACTTCTGACCTTAAGGGATCTTCCTGCCTCAGCCTCCCAGAGTGCTGGGATTACAGGCATGAGCCACCGTGCCCAGCCTTGATTTGTGAATATTTGAGAGTCATAAGCAGTTGTTTTGGCTGTATTATACTGTATGAATCAGTAAGAGCTCATCTTGGAACCTGTTTTGCAGTTTTAAAAACTGAAGAATTACATCACAGGGTTGATATGAATAAAGTTTTATTTTTTAAATGATCATTTAAAGAAAGTATACATAACCAATGTTAGATATACAGATGCTTCTCAACTTACAATGGGTTTGTGTCCAGATAAGCCCACTGTGAGTTGAAAATACCAAAAGTTGAACATCATAGCTTAGCTTACCCTAAAAGTGCTCTGAACACTACATTAGCCTACAGTTGGGCAAAATTGTCTAATACAAAGCCTATTTATAATAGTGTTGAATATCTCATGTAATTTTTCAAGATTACACTGAAAGTGAAAAACAGAATGGTTGTGTGGGTACTTGAAGTATGGCTTCCACTTAATAATTCTAAAATTGAAAAATAAGTTAGAACCATCCCAAGTCTGTTTCCTCTAAATAGTAAAGGTGAAATGATAAAAGAATGGTTTTCTCACCCAAAAAACTGTTCTATAAATGCAGATTAGCTCATTTCTGCCTGTTTAAATAGTATATGATTATTTTCTGTATTGTAAAATGGAAGCGACTTTATTAAACATGACTTTGATAATTCTCTTGTGCATCTCTAAAACCCTTGATGAAAACATGTAAACTTCAGTGATGGGAGTATTAGAAAGTTCATGTAAGAACTAAAACATTGTTAAGCTTGTTTCCTTTGTATCAGTTAAATGTGCCACTGTTTAAGATAGTTTGTACAGTGCATGGGAAATTTGTTCATTTATGATTTTTTTGCAAAATACTTGAGAATCCAACTGAAAATTGCTGAATATGTCCCACCTCAAATTATTTTTTGTCCTTTGGCAACGCCAGCATGGAGCAAGGATGTGTACAGTGATACCAGATCCCTTTACTCATACCTTTTTTAAAAGACAAACACTTGGGACTTTTTTATTCTGAGTCTGTACAGGTTTCCAGAGGCCTTTGCCTACCTTCACCCTTCACCCAGGTAGTTCTGTTCAAAATTGTGACTACCTAGTATACTTTCCTGGGAATGGGTCCATGCCTGCAATCAGGTTTTCCAAGCACTTGGACTGCATTGAACCATTGCTAGGTAACCATAAATGTTTTGAATCAACTTTCAAGGAACAGAAGCAGGAAGAAGTTAAAAGCATCGGCCGGGCGCGGTGGCTCAAGCCTGTAATCCCAGCACTGTGGGAGGCCGAGGCGGGTGGATCACAAGGTCAAGAGATCGAGACCATCCTGGTCAACATGGTGAAACCCCGTCTCTACTAAAAATACAAAAAATTAGCTGGGCATGGTGGCGCGTGCCTGTAATCCCAGCTACTCAGGAGGCTGAGGCAGGAGAATTGCCTGAACCCGGGAGGTGGAGGTTGTGGTGAGCCGAGATCGCGCCATTGCACTCCAGCCTGGGTAACATGAGTGAAACTCCGTCTCAAAAAAAAAAAAAAAAAAAAAAGCATCATTTCAATTGGGAAAATATGAGTTCTCTGTATGAAAGGGAAACATTTTGGTATTGTCCAAATTACTTCCTTTATCCTTTATTATATCTTGGGTAATTACAACTGTAATACAAGAGAGCAAATATATTTTCGTAGCAGCTGCTAAGATTTGGAATGCTGAACTTTGCTTTAAGGACTTGCTTTACTCCCCCGCCCCACTTAGTTAAGTGTTTGTATCTCCTGTTCCCCAGAAGTAGTAGTACTACTTGGGGCTTTTGAAAGGGAGAGAAAATGTTAGAGGGGAACTCAACTAACTCTTGGGATGGAAAGGAGTAGAGGTAAGAAACTTGACTATCATACTGACAGTTGATCTTAACAACCTGGATCAAATACCTTCAATTAAACCCTTCTCTAAGGCCAAGACAACTAAGTCTAATACTTCCAACCTTATGTTTCTATGGCACTTGTCAAGCTATATTGTAATTATTGTGTCTGCCTGCCATCCTAAGGCCTCTTATGGATACTCAGTATCTGGTACAATTCCTGACATACACTTTACATATATATTCATTGATACATTGCCAGGGGGATGGGCCTGAGAGAAGAGCATTTTCTTAGGTATTTGTGGCTGACAAGGGAGGAGACCCATGGGGGTTCCTCCTAGTCACTCCCTCCAGAAAATCTGGGCTCGAACTCTCATACCACCTAGAATAAGATGGTAGATATGAAAGAAAGCTCATGTCCATTGGATAGTCATCTTGTCTACTTTTACAACTGTTAGAAGTAGGTTTAAAAAAAAAAAGTTGGGTGCAGTGGCTTAAGCCTGTAATCCTGACACTGGGAGGCCAAGGTGGGAGGACCGCTTAAGCCCAGGAGTTCAAGACCAGCCTGGCAACAGCAACACCCTGTCTCAACAAAACAAAAACAGCCAAGCACTGGCATGCATCTGTGGTTCCAGCTACTCTGGAGGCTGAGGTAGGACTGCTTGACACCGGGAGATTGAGACTGATTGCCACTGCACTCCAGCCCAGAACAGAAGAAGACCCTGTCTCAAAGAAAAAAAAAAAAGCTTGAGTGCTTAAATCCGTCTACTTGCTTAGGCTTAACAAACCTTTACTCCTGGGATGGTTTTTGCACTCCAGCCTGGGCAACAGATGAGTCTCACTCTGTTGCCCAGGCTGGAATGCAATGGTGTGCTCTCAGCCCACTGCAACCTCCACCTCCCAGTTCAAGCAATTCCCTGCCTCAGCCTCCTGAGTAGCTGTGATTACATGCACGTGCCACTATACCCTGGTGTATTTTAACAACTCACGGAACCCATTGCAACTAGTGCATACCTGGCAATACAGATGTTTTGGATATAAAACATCCTCAACCCATCTGGGCCAGGGATGTCATTTGCGGGAGCATTTCAAGTGCCTATTGCACATGACGGACATGTAGTAGGGACTGTAAAGTTGAATAAATGAAAGCCAAGTTACTGAATAAATGGAATCTCAAAAAATACCGATTTTACCTTTTATGCAATGACAAAGTACTGAATAGCATTTATTATAAAATCACAACCTACATAAACAGGGTATCAAATTAATTAAGTACTTACTGAGTAAACACTAAGAGCTAAAATTCTGGACAACTAGGCTGGGGCTATCAGTGAACAAGAAACAAACCACTACCCTTGTGGAGTTTTCATTTGTTTTATTCAGTAGTCAGGGAAGACAACATATGCAAGTAAACCGTATCAGAAAAAGATAAATGTATTTTTAAATAAGGTAGCCAGGACAGTTCCTTTTGAGCTAGGACATAACTGAACAAACATCTGTGAAGTCATTAACCATGGGATATGGGGAAGGAAAAGGAGCAGAAAGGGACAGATAGCGCAAAGGCCTAAGACGGAAGCAAACCCAAGACTCCAAGTACCACAGGAGGCTAACAGGGCTGGAGCAAAGAGGGTGAGTAGTAAGGGAATTCATGGGGACAGCAAGGAGTACTACAGGAATTTGTAGGTTTTTATAGATAGATTAAATGTCACTTTATCAGACTTTTTAAGAATTTAAAGGACTAGGGGGAGAATGCCTCTCCTTGTTATGGAAGGACATTAAAGACCTCTGAATACATTCAAGCAAGTTTCAAATATTTTATTTTCTTATTCATACAGTATGAAGTTTTCTAAGATCCCACAACATGACGTATCATGCAGAAGAAAAACTAAACATTAAACATAAACTGCCCCCTCCCTTGCCCACCCCCACACACAAACTAAAAAAAAAAAAAAAAAAAGAACCCTCATTCCCCGGTAAGGAAATAATGTTTGCACTATTTTTTTTTTTTTTTTGTAACGCCAGCCAAGATATGCACAAGCAAGAGAAATAGAAAGCATTTGCTAAAATATTTGTAACAAATACTTATGTACAAAAAATTCACAAAAGACTAGTTCCCCCTTGAAGCAGAGCACATGGCAGTTGACACTGGAACAGTTCAAACTGCTGGCTGGGATTATAAGCCATGCCACTGATCCAGAGGAAGAAAGTTACATGTAGTGGAGATTTTCAGTCTGAATGAACATTAACGTTTCCAAAGTTTGGCAACTTTATCTTTTAAAATTATGCAAATTATGTAAACAAGAGTTACATTTTAAATTGATCTACATGCAAAACTCCATGTCATGCAAGGACACCAAGCACCGGGATTTTTCTCTCACAGACAGAGCCCATGATGTGCAGCACTCAGTTGAAGGAACAGCGATGGCAGGCAGGTGTGCTCAATTTCAGATTCAGTCACCTTGATTCAACCTGCCCTTTTCCACTGATTTTAAAACCAGTTTTTATAGAAAAACTATAAAGGGAAAGACTACTGTCATAAAAAGCTAACCAAAATGTTTTTCTTCAAGCCAACAGTACCTTTGCAGAAAAGGGAAGGAATAAGATCAAATGGTAGAACATGATACACTACTTTTATATCACACAAATTTATTGAGTTATCCATTATCAATTATATGGGCAAATTTAAAAAAAACATCATGCATTCTCTATCCCTCATGGTAAAGAAATTTTAAGAGGTATAAATTTGGATAAAATTTTGCTCTTCTGTGGCATATAGATTAGCAAGATTTCTCACATTTAAACCACAAATATATGTGGGTATTTAGATACATGCATATTAAATATCACCAGTTTTTTAGATTAGCTGCAAGTCTTTTGAAACACAGAAGGGAAATTCATGATTCAAACACAAGTTTAATGACAAATTATTTACCCATGTAATCAAACAAATGGATATTCTAAGCAGTTACATGATCACTTCAGGTATTCTTCAGTAAGTGATACATATGATAAATCAGGATTGCCTCAGACAGCTTCTGGCCTTTATGTATAAAATCACAATTAGCACTTACATTACTGAGGGACATTTAATAAATGCAATGGCTCCTAGTTACAAAGTAACAGAATGAAGCAGCCATAAGCACTGTGCAGTTATTATATGAACACAGGAACTAGTTCTTGGCAGTAGCAATGAACTAGACTTTCTCCTCAAGCAGAGGTGTATTAAAAGCTGCTCAGCAATGAGTAGTCGTCCCTGGAAATATATTCGTAAGTATAAATAAAGTTACAGACTCTTTTTGTTACAAAATTGTAATTAAGGTAAATAATAGGACGTTAACAAATGCTTTGTCAATCTCAAAGGAGAAAGCACAGGAAAAGGAAAATAGCTGGCCTAAACACCCGGCTCCAATTGTACAGTCTTCTATCTATATATAAAACTGTGTGAAATAAAAGTAAGGATGTTTTATGTTCTGCTTGGCACTTTTGTACTCTATTGTTTTGTTTCTGAATCAAGTATATTAAATTAAAGCCAACCTACCACATATATAGAAAGCTACATATATCTATATATAAATATTTACATATGTATATATAGATACTTTCTTGTTATAAAAGATGAAGAAAAATAAATTAAAAAGCCAACCCCTTCCCTTTCTCCACCACATTGATATGCTCTTTTCATGGTGCTGTCCTTCAGACTTTAAAGTGCTACACTGAGTTATTGAGAGAATTAGAGTTCAATAACACTTAGTTGGCTTCATGAGGCTCATGTTGGAAAATGTGGCTTCACAGAGAAAAATACTTCCATTTAAATACACAGAGAGCATTG